CATAATAGCCATTTGATTTTCTCGGTTTTGGGCCCAACTAAGAGATGAATCTACCTCCTTAAGCTTATATCTTAGGCTATGCCTTTTTAGACATATAGTCTTTTGGATTAGAAATTTAATCTCAACCTCACAAAATAGTCAATTCGATTTTGGGCCCAACCGAGAACTGAATCTACCTCCTTAAGCTTATATCTTAGGCTATGCCTTTTTAGACATATAGTCTTTTGGATTAGAAATTTAATCTCAACCTCACAAAATAGTCAATTCGATTTTGGGCCCAACCGAGAACTGAATCTACCTCCTTAAGCTTATATCTTAGGCTATGCCTTTTTAGACATATAGTCTTTTGGATTAGAAATTTAATCTCAACCTCACAAAATAGTCAATTCGATTTTGGGCCCAACCGAGAACTGAATCTACCTCCTTAAGCTTATATCTTAGGCTATGCCTTTTTAGACATATAGTCTTTTGGATTAGAAATTTAATCTCAACCTCACAAAATAGTCAATTCGATTTTGGGCCCAACCGAGAACTGAATCTACCTCCTTAAGCTTGTACCCTCGGCTTGCATTTCTTGTTGACTTTTGAGGATTGCATTTCTTGTTGATTTTTGAAGCTTGAATGATTACCTCGATGACTTGTGCCATATGAAAGTAAGATCTAGATTACCTTTTTGATCAAATATTTCAAGACAAGAAAACTTCTTTGAGATTCGTATCACTCCATCAGCAAAATTCATCATGTCAAGCTTGAATGATTCTAAATATGCAATCTTAACTACATAGAATTGGAGAAAAAAAAAATAGTCCTAACGATAACGAATCACTCCAAAGGAAAGTAAAATTCGGATTATCTTGTTGATCAAATATCTTATGGCAAGAACACTTGTTTAAGATTTGAATCCCTACACAAGCAAGATTGATCATGTCAAGCTTGAATGATTCTAAACATGCAACCTAAACTACATAGAACTGCAAAGAAACTTAGCCTTAATGATAAGAAATCACTCCACGAGAAAGTAAAATTTGGATTACCTTGATGATCAAATATCTCAAGGTAAGAACACTTGTTTGAGATTCAAATCACTCCACAAGCGACCATGTCATGCTTGAATGATTCTAAACATGCAATCTAAATTATATAGAGTTACAAAGAAACTTAGTTCTTTGCTAAAAGAAAGTAGAAATGCTCTTTTTATTAAAGAGGTGTAGTTTTCTTAATTTATGACGATAATTAGCCACGAAGTAAATATAACCTTAAAATAAATAAAAAGTTTTAAAATACATGAATGAAACAATAACTCTTTATTATCATCCACCTAAAATTTGTAACCATCCAAGAATCTTCCTTGAAGTTCATATTGCACGATTGAGATATTTTGGTTCATTTCGTGTTGTATATAAACAAAAGATTGTACTAAAACAAAAATTAAGAAGAAAAAAACCTTGTAGCATCAAATTAATTACCTTATAGCCAAAAACCCTACCACAAAAACTCTAATCTCGTCATTCTAAAAATTGGACTAAAAACTGAGTTACATTTCATATATTCGAAAATTATATCGAGGAAAGTTAAAATTTGATGATTTATGAATATTAAAAACACAAAAAAGTAGCATGACGAAAATCATCGTCATGCTACAATCAACAACATTTTGCCTTGATTTTAAGTAGTTTTGAAATCGTGATTTCCAGTCAGACCCTTTATGTATAAACAAGAGATTGTACTTTCGTGAAGGATGCTCGACCAAAAAATACCTCGAACTCACCGAAGCTCAAGAATGAAATTGGTTTTTTCATTTTTTTTTTCTCCAAGAAACCCTAACCCTCTTTTATTTCGATTTTCTTCTTTCTTTTCCTTTCTTCACTCTTAATTTCAAGAATCAACAATAAAAAGCTTTCTAATTAGAAGAAACATGGGAAATGACCAAAATGTCCCTCGAGAGTTAACCATTAGTTTTTATTTTTCTTTTTCACTATTTTATTTTATGTTTTTGGTGGACATATTTTAAAAAATATTACTCTTCATGAAATTCACTCCCTAAGACCCTTACTAAAAATCTATCAACTTGAAATTTAAAAGGTAAAGTTTGAAAAACTCGGACCTTACTAGCCCGACTATTACAATTATAACATTCACGGCACATTATTCATAAAGTGATGATGCTTCATAATCATCACATCTATTTGATCTAAGAATGTTTACTGTCTCTTGCATACTATAGATTCTGAACATTCGTGACCTAGATGTGAATAAGTTGAATTACTTACTCCTTCATCTATTAAGGAACGATTTCTAAATGGATTGGGAAAGATCTTCCCTTGTGTTCTCAAGTTGATTTTCAATTTCTATCTTATAAGTTTAAAAGTGCTTAAGACTTCACATTTACGAAAAATATTTCCGACGATCATCCATGAATGTGATATATAACTCTTTACCACCTCTTGTAGGGTATTTTTCATGTCATAATGACTTTGTAGTGAACTTGGATTGAACACCAACTTCCCTTTATTACCCGTGTTGAAATTAGGCAATTGTGAGATCCCACATCGATTGGAGAGAAGAATGAGTGTTAGCTAGGACGCTGGATTTCAAAGGGAGTAGATGGTGAGATCCACATCAGTTGGAGAGGGGAGGGGAACGAAGTATTTTTTTATAAGAGTGTGGAAACCTCTTTATAGCAAAGGTGTAATAAAAGAAAATCTGAGAAGTCTGAAACGAAAAGCCCAAAGAAGAAAATATCTACTAGCAGTGAACTTGAGCTATTAACCTAAATTAACCATTCTATGTAAACAATGATGACATGCCCCAACCTAAAACGCTATTTTACAATGAGTTTGGGAAATGATTTTCACGCAAGAATGACTAAGCCAGAAACATAAACAATTGAAGTTTAAAGGGATGATTTTATTGAATATTGAACTCCGCTTTTAACACCTTACACGTAAAATAAATAGGAACTAGAAATAGAAACTATCCGCAAAGGTGCAAAGTAATTAAACTAAATAGCTAAAAAATACTCTATCTATCTCACAATAAATGATCTTTATTTAAGTTCTTCCCTCAACTTCTGAAACGCTTCTGATTTGAGAGGCTTTGTCAACAACTTGGCAAGTTGATTTCGGGTGCCACAAAAATAATAAATTAGCAGTTCCTTCTTTTGTTAGATTTCTATGAAAGTGAAATCTTACTCTTATGTGCTTGGAGCGAACATGTAGAACTGAATTTTTGAACAACTTAATAGTTGGAGTATTCACACATTAGCTTTGTTTCATCTATTTCAGAGTGACCAATCTCTTTGAGTATTCTCATCATCCAAACAGCTTGACATGCACATACACTAGTAACAACAAACTCACTTTTGTGGTTGATACGGTGACTATAGGCTACTTACGACAAGACCACATTACTACTCCTCCACTCATCATAAACACATAGCCTGAAGTACTCTTGCTATCTTCCATGGCTCCGGCATAATCACTATCAATAAATCCAATTAAATCACTAACTCAATCCTTTCTATAAAATACACCATAATCTACCGTATCTTTCAAGTACCTTCAAACCCTTTTATTTGCTGCAAAATGTTGTTGGACATGCCATAAAACGACTAATCAAACTTACAACAAACATGAGATTAGAACGAGTAGTTGTGAGGTACATTAGACTTCCCATTATTTGTTTATACAAAGTTACATCTACTTTTGCACCATTTTTATCTTTGCCAATTTTCTATTCTTGAAACAATGGGATTACAGACATAATTATAATTCTATATGTCAAATCGATTTAAAACTTCACCAACATACTTTCTTTGACACATAAAAATACCATCTAAATTTTGTATTACCTCTATTCCAAGGAAGTCTCTTCCGTATAATCAATTTCATGCTCTTATGTGTAGCCTTTTACCACCAATCTTGTTTTGTATTTATCAACTTCTGAGACTCATTTAGTTTGGTCTTATAAATTCATTTTCTTCATCCTCTTCCAGTAAGCCTTCACCGGAATCATAATCTACTAACCATGCAGGTGGATGTCGATTTCTCCCCCTCCCTTATTGTCAAATATGGTGCAACAACTACTAAAAAACTATTTTCAGCAACTAGTTCAATTGTTTCAGCAACTGGTTTATTCATTTCGTGGATGATTTCTCTTTCTTATGCTGTGTTCTCATCAATTTCACTATTTTTCACCAATCCAATTTTGTTTCACCTTCAAAAAAATTTCTATCTCATTCACAATCTTCCTCAAAAGCTACATTACGACTTACTATAATTTTATTTTAGCTTGATCAAGCATTCTATAACCTTTGGATTTGGTACGTACTCCAAATAAAATACATGTGCCACTTTTATCTTCAAGTTTGCTTCTCTTAGCATTTGGAACATGAATATGTCCCACACATCCAAAAACTCTAAAATAATCAACTTATGATTTCTCTCTGCTCCAAGCCTCTTCTCTTCTGATGTCATGTCTTTTACTGCAAGAGTGGGTGATCGATTCCAAACATGAATCGTTCACCACTGCATCATACCAGAATTTTTTAGATACTTTCTTCTCTATCAGCATAGCTCTTACCACGTGCATCATGGTGCAATTTTTGCGTTCGTCCACTTCATTTTGCTATGGGGCGTGGTCAATTCTCTCTTCACTCCATGTTGTTTGCATAAATTGTTGAACTCTGCAGAGTTGAATTCTCCACCTCTATTTGTTCTTAAACATTTTATAGAAATTCAATTTTCTTTTCCACCATTAATTTTAAACATTTGAAATCTTAAAAATGTTTTTGATTTTTCTACAAGGAAATAACTTCATGCAAGCCTTGAAAAATCATCAATAGAACGCACCAAATACTTTTTCTGACTACTTGAAGCTAGTAAAATTGGACCACATGGATCTGCATGAACAAGTCCCATTTTTTCGGTTGCTCACCATTTACCCATTTTAGAAATGGAGTCTGATGTTGCTTGCCTTTCATTTATGCCTAATAATGGTGTTTGGAGCTACAATTTGCGGCAGGTCTTTCACCATGTTTTTGTGTTTCAAGGTACATAAGCCTTTGTACCCAAGATGATCATAGCGATGATGTCAAAGTGCAGTTTGGTTCGTATTTGAAACTTGGAGGCATCTTCCTTGATTTGTTGTGGTAGATGGTTCAATAAGCAAAATGGACAGTCGATTTTCACTCATAATTAACTTTATCATTTTTCCTTTTAATGTTACCTACACCATCTTTAAACAACACTGCTATTTCTTTTTCTTGTAGTTGTCCAACGCTCAAGAGATTATTTTTGAGTTTAGGTACTCAATACACATTATTAATAGTGTAACGAACCTCATTCAAAGTCAATTTCGCTCCACCCTTTCCAGTAACTTTTATGCTTGTATTATTTCCAAGCTTGACAGTGTGAAAACAGGTCATGTCTATGCTTGAAAACATACCTTCATTTGCACAAATATGGTTTGAGCAACTAGAATCTAAGAACCAAGTATCACTCCTTTTTGCATCGTTTCTTTCCAAATGAGCCATTAACAACATTTCATTCTCTTCTTCCAACTCTGCATAATTCAATTCCTTATTCATCTTTGGCTATTCATATTGAAAATGACCTAAGTCATGATATCTTTAACATTCAACCGTTGCTTTGTTGAAAATTGATTTTCCTCTTCCATGTCTTCTACCCCTATAAGTTCCTCTTCCTCGGTTACTTATTTCTGTTTAACCTTCGACTTTTAGAACTTCCTCTCCATCAACGTTGGATCTTCGAAATTTTGTTCATGCACCCACTAATGAACTTTGTAATTCATCAGTGGATATGTTATCATTATCTTTGGATTTCTCAATAGATACTACAACATAAGTAAATTTTTTAGTCAAGGTATGCATAATTTTTTCTAAAATTTTCTTGTCTTGAATATCTTCTCATCGCTTCTCATCTGGTTATATAATTAGTGATACTTTCATCCTTCTTCATCTCTAAGATCTCAAATTCTCTCATTAGTGCATCAAGAAGAGATTTCTTTCACCTTTTTGTTTCTACCATACTTTCACTTCATTGAGTCCAAAACAATCTTGGTTGTGCCATGATCCAAGATTTTTTCAAAGACCGTACGATCAATTTCCCGAAAGAGTTAATGCTTTCGCTTCATTGAGTCCCAAACAATCTTGGTTGTGCGACAATCCAAAATTTGTTCAAAGAAAGTACGATCAATGGCCGGGAAGAGGTAATCTTGGTGATCTTTGAGTCTAATATCATCAAGGTGCGCATTTTATGCCTCAGTCAGCACTGTTCCTTCCACTAATTCTAAAAAATCAATCTTTACTACACTCCACACACCCTTTCCTCTAAGAAAAATTTCCATCTACTCACTCCCGTGATCATAGTGACCATCAAAGTGAGGAATCTTGGTTAAAGTTTTATCTTCACTCATACTCTCCGTATTGGATCGCTCAAAAGTTGCTATTCTACCAAGTCTAATGGTGTCTCTCATAACCATTACAAAGTTTTGATAGAAGAATGTCTAAGCTAGAAACATAAGGAGTACTTAGTCCTTTTATAGCCTTAAAAATTAATAAAAGAAATAGAAATTATCCATTAATATTTCAAAATAGTTAAACTAAATAGCTAAATACTCTAACTATCTAAAAATAAACCATCTTTGTTTAACGTCTTTAACATAATTAAATTATTCTAACAAAATTCTTAGCCATAAACTATAATAGAAAATAAGTTTTTAAAAATATTATTATATATATTATTTTCCTTTTACTAATTTTGTTTTTGATATTATTTGCAACAAAATGATATATAGAAATATATCACCTATTTCTTAATTTTGTTCATGCATACCATTCCAAGGAATTATCCCTTTTCTCACGATAACACATAACAATTTTAAGTGGGAAAACATGATGTTTGGAGATAATGAAATAGAATGACAATGCAAAGCACTTCACTCCTTAGTGGATGCCAAAGCTATTGCTTTCAACTTTTTTCATATGAAATCAGCTTTCTTTTGATAAAAGTTTGTCTTGTTTCTATCATGCATCTTAAAAATAGCATAGTGAATCAAAATTTAAATGCTAATACAAAAAACGCGACTTAGATTCCATGATCTGCTTAGTGACACCCCCATATATACATGGGCCCATACCTTTACGTAAACAATGTTAAACGTAGTTTAAGTGTTTAAAAATACTCAATAGGTGACTCCACTATTCATATTGAAAAATGTACATGGGTCCATACCTTTACCTGGAAATGTTAAACGTGGTTTAAGTGTTTAAAAATACTCCATAAGTGACTCCACTAGTCAGATAAAAAAAATGTACATAGGCCCATAACTTTACTTGAAAAATGATTAAACGTGGTTTAAGTGTTTAAAAATACTCCAATAAATTACTCCACTATTCACATTAAAAAATGTACATGGACTCATACCTTTGCCTTGCCTGAAAAATGTTAAACATGGTTTAAGTGTTTAAAAATACTCGATAAGTGATTCCACTATTCAGATTGAAAAATGTACATCGGCCCATACCTTTACCTAAAAAGATGTTAAACGTAGTTTAAGTGTTTAAAAATACTCAATAAATTACTCCACTATTCATATCGAAAAATGTACCATAATAAACTAAAATCGTTAATTTTAAGATTAGGAGACAAAAAAAAAAAAATATTTTCAAAATATGTAGATTAAAAAGAATAATATTGGAAGCATATGAATAAACCTAAATGAATAAAAGTTGGAAGTCCATTCAAACTTTTTTTTTTTCTTTTAATTTAATAAGGAATATTTGAAATTTGAAATGGATTGGGACAAAACTTAAAGTTGTGCAGTAAATAGAACATGAATGTTGCTTTGTCGTTTAGTTTGGATCATAAATGTCCTTTGTTGAGGTGTTGTGGAAGTTTGGGAGGAAAAAAAATGAGAGAAAAATGGAGAGTTTATCAAAAGGAAGTGAAGAAGGTGAGCTTTTTAGCAGCGCCCATCATCACAGTCTTCGTTCTTCAGTACCTATTGCAGGTCGTCACCGTCATCATCGTCGGCCATCTCGGCGATGAGCTTTTGCTTTCTGGCATCTCGATTGCCTCTTCCTTCGTTCGTGTCACTGGCTTTGCCCTTCTCGTAATCTCTTCGTTCTTGCTTTATAATGTTTCGGTCAGAAATGCGTTTCATTTAACCTTTTAGACTTGGTATGTGAAATTCTACATCGATAGGAGAGAGGAACAATTTGTTGGTGACAACAGAAAACTGAATTGAGATTGAGAGGAGGAGTGATTTGAATGATGGGGAGGGAGGTCCTTTTATAGGGGATTCCAGAGTGGGTTGAGATTTTCTAGGGTGATTCCGTAGTCGGTTGAGATTTTTGTGGATGAATTTGAATTTGAAACTAATTCAAATTCTATTCTATTATTAGCTATTATTAGTTTCAACACCCTCCCTTAAACTGAATTCTGCGAAATCAGTTTAAGACTTCATTTCATCTTCTTGATATACATCTTGGATTCTGCATATCCCCATCTTTCTTCTGAGCTTCTCGAACAATGGTTGTTTCAAGGGCTTTGTGAATAGGTCTGCGATTTGTTCATCACTTCGGCAAAAGTTGAGTTCAATAATGCCTTCTTTACACAAATCACGCAAGAAATGAAATCGAACATCGATGTGCTTGCTCCTTCCATGTAACACAGGATTTTTAGACAACTTAATAGTTGACATATTATCACAATATATAACCGTCGTACTTGGTTGCTTCTGATTAAGAATTTCAAGCATTTTTCTTAACCAAACTGCTTGGCACGAGCATGCTGCTGCTGCCACAAATTCTGCTTCTGTCGTTGAGAGTGTTACAATAGGTTGCTTCTTTGAAGACCAGCAAATAGCTCCTGAACTCATCAAGAAAATACTTCCTGAAGTACTTTTACGATCGTCTATATCACCTGCATAGTCGCTATCTGTATAGTCAACTATCTTCGGATCATCTCCTTTTTTGTAGAATACCCCCAAATCAGAGGTTCCTCTCACATAACGAAGTATCCTTCTTGCTGCATTGAGATGTTTTTCCGTTGGATGCTCCATGTAACGACTTATCATACTAACCGCATACATGATGTCTGGTCTTGTTGAAGTTAGGTACATCAAACTTCCCACAATTTGTTTGAAATACCTATTATCAATCACTCGCCCGTCAATGTCCTTGTGCAACTTTAAACCCAATTCTGATGGAGTTCCAAATGTGCGCTCATCCAATTTAAATCTTTCAAGTAATTCTTGAGCATACTTCTTCTGACAGATAAAGTTACCTGCGGGAGTTTGAGTAACTTCTACTCCAAGAAAATATCTCATCAAGCCAAGATCTGTCATTTCAAATTCCTTCATCATGCTCTTCTTAAAAAATTCAAACATTTCTTCATTATTGCCAGTAAATATTAAATCATCAACGTATAAGCAAATAATGATAATGTTACCTCCCTTTTCAGTTTTCACATACAACGTATGTTCATACGGGCATTTAGTGAATCTCATCTTTTCAAAATGAGAATCAATGCGACTGTACCATGCCCTTGGAGCTTGCTTCAAACCGTACAAAGCTTTCTTCAACTTGTATACTTGTTCCTCTTTGCCTTTTTGAACAAAACCTTCTGGTTGCTCCACATATACTTCCTCTTGAAGCTCTCCATGTAAGAAGGCTGATTTCACATCAAGTTGATAAATAGGCCAAGATTTCTGTGCTGCAATAGAAATTATGAGCCTGATAGTGTCTTGACGTGCCACTGGTGCAAATACCTCCTTATAATCAATTCCATACTTTTGCTTATATCCTTTTGCAACAAGTCGCGCCTTGTACTTATCCACCTCACCGTTTTCATTCAACTTGGTTTTGAAAACCCATTTTACTCCGATTGTTTTCTGCCCTCTAGGAAGATCAGTGAGCTCCCAAGTCTTGTTCTTCTCTATGGATTTGATTTCACTGTTCATAGCTTCCTTCCATTTCTTCTCTTTTACTGCCTCTTCATAGACAATTGGATCACTATCCAAAAAGAATGCAAAATAACCACTATCACTTGATTCATAATCCATCTCATAATCAATCATCCAGTTTGGTCTTTTTCTTGTTCTTGGATGTCTTTGATTATGATCATGATCTTCTTCTACTGGTTCTTCTTGTTGAGCTTGTGATGAGCTCTCTCCATGCTCATAGTGAGGCTGAATAGGAGCTTCAGTTTGTTCTTCTTCAAGATCTACAGGAATCTGCTGATTCACAGTAGGGGCTTTAGTTTGTTCTTCTTCAAGATCTACAGAAATCTGCTGATTCACAGTGATCTTTTCTTCCCATGTCCAAGTCTTATTTTCGTCA